TTTGATAGGACGCTCCCGATTTTGACCATTTGTTGTCTGTTTGACAGGAATGCTTCTATCCATTTATGCAGGTGTCCAGAAATACCATAAGATTTTAGTTTTAGGAGTAGTTTGTCGTGTACCACTGAATCAAAGGCTTTACAGAAGTCTATGTAGAAGTCTATTGCTTTGCCCTGATCGAGTTGTGTAGTCCATATGTTTTTGCAGTGTAAGAGTTGCAGATTACAGGATAGTTTTTTTCTGAAACCAAATTGTTTATTAGAGAGTAGGTTGTTTGTCTCTAAGTGGAGGATAGTGGATTGGTTAATAATTGATTCCATGACATTACAGGTGACGCAGCATAAAGAGATCGGTCTGTACTGGGCTGGGGTGCAAATGGCAGTCCAATCTCTTCTTGAAAGTCTCAAGTGATGAAGCTCCCACAACTTCTGAAGGCAAGCTGTTCCATTGGTTGACTGTTCTCCTTATTTCCAGGTTAAATCTCTCCTTGTTCAGTTTCCATCCATTATTCCTTGTCTGGCCTTGAGATGCCTTGGAAAATAGCTTGACCCCCTCCTCTCTGTGGCAGCCCCTCAAATATTGGAAGACTGCTATCATGTCTCCCCTGGTCCTTCTCTTCACTAAACTAGCCATGCCCAGTTCCTGTAACTGTTCTTCATATGTTTTAGTCTTCAGTGCCCTAATAATCCTGGTTGCTCTTCTTTGCACTTTTCCCTAGACTCTCAACATCTTTTTTATAGTATGGTGATCAACACTGGATGCTGTTGAGGTGGTATGATCTAGGTATGATCTTAGTAAGGCCTTATAGAGTAGTATTAGTACCTCACTTGACCTTGATTGTATCCCTCTGTTAATGCAATTTAGGATTGCATTGGCTTTTTTGGCTGTCGTTGCACACTGTTGGCTCATATTTAGCTGGTTGTCCACAAAGTCCAAAATCCCTCTCACGGTTCCTGCTATTAAGCCTGGTTTCCCCCAGTCTACTTTTGTGTACTTTTGTTTTTTCTTGCCTAAGTGTAGGGCTTTACTATTCTCTACACTGAATTTCATTTTACAAGATATGGCCCAGTGTCCATCTGGATCTTGAGCCTATCTTCTAGGGCAGTGGTGGCTAACCTTTTTGGGCTCCCATGCCAAAAATTGTGTGCCAGAACCCAGAAGGCAATGCACACAGCCCCCCATGCCCCCTGCATATGCACATGCAACCCCCTGCATGCACCACTCACCTCTGCACATGTGTGCGCAATCCGTGTGCCATGCATCTCTGCGCATGTGTGTGCGATCCCCGTGCCATGCATCTCTGCGCATGTGCACACAACCCCCTGTATGCACCGCGCATCTCTGCACATGTACGTGAGACCCTCCATGCACCCCGCATGTCTCTGCGCATGCGTGTGCATTTCCCGCATCCCCGTCCCCCGTGCATGCGCACCAAATACCTGACGGGTGGGCGGCGGGTGTGCATGCACAGGGGAGCTCTTCCAGGCGACCTCTTGCATGCTGGCAGAAGTGGCTCTGCATGCCACTTCCAGCACACATGCCATAGGTTCGCCATCACGGTTCTAGGGTGTTGACTATTCCTGCCAGTTTAGCATCATCTGCAAATTTGGTACGTTCCCCTTCTATTAAGACATTTATGAAGATATTGAAGAGTACTGGACCTAAGATGGAACCTTGTGGCATCCCATTGCTTACTTCTCTCCATGTAGACTTAGACTCATTAAGGACTACTTGTTGAGTATGGTTTGTCAGCCAGTTGCGAATCCATCTGATGGTGATGCTATCTATCCCACTTTTTTCTAGCTTACCAAGAAGTAGGTTGTGATCCACTTTGTCAAATGCCTTGCTGAAGTCTAAGTCCACGGTATTATATCTACAGTATTTTGCTGGTCTACTAATTTAGTCACTATGTTGAAAAATGAAATAAGATTGGTTTGGCATGATCTGTTTTTAACAAACTTATGCTGACTGCTAGTTATTACTTTACTTGTTTCTAGATGCTGGCTGATCTGTTGTTGTGTTTTAAATTATCTTCTCTAGTATCTTCCCGAGTATTGATGTTAGTCTGATTGGTCTGTATTTTCCTGTGTCTGTTTTTTCCCCTTTTTTGAAGATGGGACTCACATCAGCTCTTTTCAGTCCTCTGGTAGTTCCCCAGTGCTCCAGGATTTTTGAAAGATGTGATACAGTGGTTCTGAGATGATATCTGCCAGCTCCTTTAAAACTCTGGGATGTAATCCGTCAGGTCTCAGTGATTTGTATTGCTCAAGATCAGAGAGGTGCTCTCTTACCATTCCGCCCCCCCCCCCCCACTTATTTTAACTTTTATTTCTTGTCTGTCCTTTACAGTTGTGTTTTTGGTAGGATGGACTATTGTTTCTTTTTGTGTGAAGACCAATGTAAAGAATGAGTTAAATAGCTATGCTTTCTCTCTCCTGCCTGTTACTTCCTTGTTACTTCGTCTTTACTTCGTCTTTTCCTTGATTTTTTTCTTGTTATTTATATGTCGGAAGAAACTTTTTTTATTATCTTTGACTTTGGATGCAAGTTTTTGTTCATTTTGAGTCTTTGCTTTCCTGACTTCGTCTTTGCAGATTCTGGCTATTTGCTGATATTGTTTAATTCAATTATAATAATAAGTTATTATATTCCACCATTTTGCAGGTTTAATCAGCAATATGGGGGGAAGGGGGAAATTAAGGAAAAAAGAAATGCTGGTATACTAATGCTCATATTATTATTTTATCTAGACAGTAGTGATTATGCTAACCACCTAAATTGTTTTGAACTAGATCTGGAACACATTTTTCCCAGAATGTGCAAATGTTTGAAAAGGACTTTTTGATTGAAAAACTCTGCACAATCCCAACAGATACCTCTCTTATCTCTAGTAATCACTTTGGAACCAAAACTATAATCATCTATATACACATTTCTTAATTCCAGGAAGATGTTCTTGGATCCACTGCAGGTTTATACATCCACTAAATTCAGCTAGGCTTGTCCTCAACTGAGTGCATAGTGAGTGTGTGTAATAATCTTTAATTCATTCATTATTTCTGAATATGGATCTAGTGCTCTTCTGAAGAAGCGCTAAACCGATGCTAAAAGGAATAGCCCTATTGCTGGGTCCCTGGCATGGAGATGAGATGCAGGATGAAGCACGAGAGGGCAACTGATAATAAGCTAGTGCTGTCCTTGACTAGTGCTGGCAATGAGTGACTGTGGCTGGCAGGATCTAGGAATAGCCCATGGAGTGAGCAAAATGATAGGAATTCAATATTTGTCTCTCCTTTTCTCCAGGAGCTTGAAGTAGTTAGAACTCCCTCCTTCATTTTATCTATTTAATTTATATGGCCACTCATCTCACGAAACACAACACTGGCTGATAGCTCACAAAAATGCAGTACAAAATAACCACCAATAAACAACAATATATTTAATTTGTATATTTAATTGAATGTTTTAGTATTTTTGATGGTTTTACTGCTTTTATTGCTTTAAAATGTTTTTAATATTTTGACTGTAATATTTTTTTTAAAATTGTAAGCCACCCATAGTCATTGATTGAGATGGCAGACATATAAGTTGAATAAATAAATAAATAAATATAAAAAGCTTATAAAGGCCCATTTCTTCCATCACAAACCACTCACTTAACTGCAAAGTTGATCAATTTGTCATAAACCTCATATCTCTACTGTACTAATTTCTGCATCATATATGCTGAAAATTCAATTTATAATAAATATTTTAATTAATGAAATCTCTAATAAATGGCATTTTAACTCAGTAGAAAAAAACAACAGCCAGTTTGGTGTAGTGGTTAAACTTCTAGGCTAGAAACTGGAAAAACTCCTGACCTGGGCATGAAGCCAGCTGAGTGCCCCAGGGCCAGTCACTCTTACTCAGCCCTAGGAAACAGGCAATGGCAAGCCACGTATGAAATCTTGCCAAGAGAACTGCAGAGGTTCAGGCAATCACCAGAAGCCAATGGCACCCCAGAAAATATCCTTTTCCCAGCTAACAGCAACTATGCGGGGGGGGGGGGGCAGGGTCCCAAAGTTCCAGCAGCTCAATAAGGAACCATGACCCCCCTCCAAAAAGGTTGAGAATCTCTGAAGGTTGATTATGTGCAGAAATGAGTAACCCAGTTAGCTGAGCACTATTTTCTAGTGCCACTTTGAGTGCTACACTACCAGCTGGTTATCTTTATCATCTCTTCTAATCTACAAATGCCTTTTATAGTATTGCTCATTAATAACATGCCTCTCATAATTAAATGTGTGCAGATAGAATTGGGTGGCCCAGCTAGGATATTTTCTTCTCTTCTGAATTAGTTGGGCTGCCTACAATATTGGAAAGATGGGGCAGGAGTTAAATCTGACCTACCGTGGATCTCTGGCCGATCTGCAGCAGATCGGGAAGGATGGGTGGCTCCCGGTTTCACTTCGTTTTGTTTTAACAAAAAGAAACAACAAATGGTTGTCCCAGCCAAAATAATACTGATGACTAACTAGAAGTTTATTATTGTATGCAGGATCTGCAGGCTCTATTCAAGCCTGCTACTTCCAACAGCAACTACCAGGCTCAATATGAGTCAGTTGCATTTCTTTTATATCAGACTCACGGTTTCGAGTGAAAACCTGCCGTTTGACTGAAGACGGCCTCTCCTGCACGCACTACCATCAACCGGCAGCTGCTTGCTCCACTAAGTCGGAGGCAGGAGCCCCTTTTCCCTTCCAACTCCAGCTTGCCTCTTTAAGGCCTGGAGCCTCCAGCGCTGCGCACCTCTGAACCCGGTGACTGACAGGCAGCCGCCCGGGGGGAGGGGGGGATCGGTGATGGCGAAAGCGGGGAGGAGTTATCGGCGGCGAGCGGCGGCCAATCAGGAGGGCGAGGCGCCCTCTCGGCTCTCTCATCAGCACCACCCATCTGCTCGCCTCCTTTCCCTCCTCCCTCCCTCCCTCCCTCCTTCCTTCCTTCCTGGCTGTGCCTTTTCTGTGTCAGTTTCAGGAGTCCTGAGCTTGAGCCTGAAACAAAGCAGGAGGCTGGAAAGGGACTCTCCGGAGTTCGCCAAGACGCCGAGTTGAGGGGGAGGGAGGCTGCCTGCCTTGGCCGAGGCGCCGGGTTGTGTGTGCTTTTCGCCGTCAGCTCTTCGAAGCGGGAAGCTCCTTTCGGGGAGAGCATCTGGCTCCCAAGCGGGGCGGGCGGGCAGGGAAAGTTTGCCCGGCTCTTCCCTTCGGCTTTCAGATCGAGGCGGGTTTTTGCCCGAGGAAGGGTTAAGCGGTAGCTTGCCGACCGTCGACCGCCTCCAACGCTGCCCTGTCGGCCACCTCAACAGCGAAAAGCGAGACCCTGGCTGGGACGGAGAGAAAAAGGAACAGCAAAAAGCGAGCCCGATCCGGCTTCTCGCCTTGATCCTGCTCCAGTGCGCCGCTTCCTTGCCTGCTGGAGCCGACAGCCTCCTCACAAGAATTCCGAGAGTGTTGTTTCCCCCCTTCCCTCCCTCCCTCGGGAGGTTTGAGGTTCGTTAAGGGATAATATTCTTTTTTGAAAACCCAGAGAAGAAAGGCAAGGGAGGAAGGCGAGCCCAACACTTGATTCCTCTCTTCCAAGAAGCGCGCTCCCGAAAAAGCTCGAGAAGGGGGGAAAAGAAGGGGCCCCGTCCGCGCCTTGCCTTGGGGATGGATGATCAGCCCAGGTTGATGCATTCCCACGCCGGAGTGGGGATGGCTGGCCATCCGGGCCTGTCCCAACATATGCCGGACGGAGCTGCCGGCACTGAAACCGAGGGGGGACGAAAACAAGACATCGGGGACATTTTACAGCAGATCATGACCATCACCGATCAGAGTTTGGATGAAGCGCAGGCCAGGTGAGTCCTTGAGTGATGACGACGACGAAGATGATACTTACGCGTATTTAACACGAGGATCTGATCCAGACAAATACTTGGGTTTTCTGTGCTCTTTCTGTTAGCCTTCGGGAAACAAAGTAATCCCGAAGAAAAATCAGATTTTCACTAGACGACTGTATTAGCCTAAAATTACGTTTTTACTAGGACTTAAGTGAAAAACAGGTTCCAAGGAATGGATGTTATTCTTTTGACTGACTTTAGTTAAGTTAGACAAGGCTGAACAGCTAACTTGACTGGATGATTTGAGTTGGGAGCTGCAGCTTCCCATGTGCTTTTGTTTGTAGTAGTTCATGAACTGAAAGTCTCAAATAGTCAACTTAATTTGTATTTGATCGAAAAAAGAAGTTAAATCTTGTCATATTCTTAGCTGTAATATTTCAGAGATTGAACTTTGGGTGTAAATATCAGACTGCATCTGCTATCTAACAGAAGAGGTAAATAGATTATGGTATCAACCATTATTCAAAAAATATTTTGGGTGATTTTTATAGTTTAAAAGAAAAATGCAAAGGGACTGGCTATAAAAAAAGGCTGGTGTTTTGTTTTCTACTTTTGAAATAGCAAAAAACCAACATCTTTTGAAGGGCGCTGTTGAAAGATCTTTCTTATAGCTCTTTAGGTACAGTTCAAAAAACCTTAATCACACTTAATCCCATTGAAAACCAGTGAGCTTAATAATGTTTAATACTTGTTCCCTTTGGTGGCCCCTTTGTACAAACCGAATAATTTCCTTTCCTCATGTGATAGTAAGTATTGATGTTGCATTTTTTTCTATGTGTGTTATTCAAAAGGATAAATATATATTTCTATCATAAGGAGTTGAGCCTTTTAAGAAGCCTAGAAGATAGTAGAATGCAGTCTGTAAATGTTGCTACTTTCCCAACTAGATATCCATTCCGGGATGTGCTTCTACATTATGAAACCACATGAATGTATATGAAACAGCAGGTCATAATCTAAGGCAAGTTGTAAGTGCCTGTTACTAACATGCACATTGAAGCATTTGACCATTTGTACAATACTTTTTATCTTTAGCATTGCAATTGTTTTCACAAGCCACCATGTTAGTTTGTTTCTTTTCAAACTGAATTTTGAGAAAGAGACACATGCTTTTTTTAAAAAAAATATCCCATAGAATTATTTTATAAAACTTCAGTGTAGATACTATAGAGTTACACTTTTAGTGCCTGTGCATTTTAAAAATGGAGCTTCTTAAACACACATCAGTATATATAACTATATAGCACTCTCCTAGAACATTTCTGCAAATCTTTAAAAGTTAAAATGAATAAAAAAACAATTTTAACGATAGAAAATTGGAAAATAAAGGAGACATAAAATTGGAAATAAAGGACAATAATTAATAAAATAATCTTACATAGAAAAGCTGTTAACATTTTATTTGCACTCTGTGTCTATAATCCTTTCCACAATCACCTGGGATAGATTGTTAGATTTTATGTGTCAATGGTAAATTGCATAGCTTACTTGCTTTGTAACACCTAATATTCACTGAGATGGTATTGATATATACCAGCTAACAGTGGAATTCTTTAAGTGATTACTTACAAGTAAGTTCGATAGATTTCAGTAGCTCTTGTTACTATAAGGCATATAGCATAGCTTTAAAGCATCATCGGGCCAAGAAGTGCAGGGTTCATAACCTTGTTTTGTTAGAAACCTTGGACTTGATGAACAATAGCTTCTGCTGTATGATGCTTCCCAATATTACTATAAGACAAAGCAAAGGAAAGGTGTTTCTAAAAGTTGCAAGAGTTGATGTTTGGTTTAAATACTTAGTGTGTATAGATACTATTAAATGTGCTTGAAAATCAATTCCAAACATAAAGATGGTTTTTGTTGCCTGTTACTCTTTACATACCTGTGTATGCAGTTCTGCTTACAGACTTTTAAAAAGCAGATCTGTTTTTTAAAAGGAAATGTGTATTTTGTTATTTTTCTGCTTTGCGTAACCCATGATTGGAAATATCAAAGATTTTTTTAAAGTGTGTGGTAGCAAACTTTCATTTTACATGCACTATTTTTTAAATAGTTTTGATATTTGGGAAATCAAAATATACTGTGCTAGTGTGCCAATTGTGAGCCAGAGTCAGGGATTTTGGGTACTGTTAGGAATGGAAAGAAAGCAGTTCCAACACATTGTGTACACACCAGTGGGATGCTCTCTCGCACATAGAAGTGATGGGCTTCTGGCAAAAGAGTTCTGCCTAATGGATTATACTCCATGTTAATCAGTGGAATGGAAGGGTCTTCAATTTTTCTGCCCGAGGCACCAAAATGTTCATGTTCTGATGACATGTAATTTTGATTCTCAAACCCATTCTTTGATGCCCAATGAGATCAGACTTCTTGCATATTATAGCAGCACATCTTCAGAAGAGATTACTTGTCAAAGAAATAGTAATTGTTACAGCAATGTTAGATTGTTTCTTTCCTTCAATGGGCATCTGCTGGGACATGAAACTAATCAACCTAATAAACAAACAACTGGCCCATTTTGGCACAAGGAAGTGGGGCAGGAAATGACCCATATAAATTCTCTCTTTTTTTGTATACTAGAATAGCAACATGATGGTAGTGGTGATGGTGATGATTTGTTATCCTGATTGGATTTTTTTTTAACTTTATGCCTAATGGAGATTCTATGGAGATTTTAACTCTATGGTTTTTACTCCTTTAAGGAAGCCAGTAAGTTATGAGGAACATGAAAGTAATCGTTTTTTTTTTCCACTTCCATCCTGCCTTATTAGATGTTTCCCTCTCTCTCTAGCAGTATAACTCTGCATTCTGGGACTATTTTATTTAAAAATGGCTATTCTGTACTTCAGGTTTTCTTAAAGGGCTTTCAAACCTTTCCAGTAGAGCTGCTTCAACACAAAGAATTGTAAAACATGTATGAATGGGGGTGTGTGTGGAAGGAAGAGGAACATACAAAAGTTCCCTACGTGGTTGAATAAGATCATCATTAAACACTGGAAAGGCTTCTACATGCTCCTGGCATTGATCAGTTAATAGCCAGGCCAGCAAGTATAGTTTATATGGATGCTGCTGGAACAGCGCTGTCAAATAGTTCCCTATTTGGTAGCATTTAGAATCACCAAACTGATCTCCTATTCAGTATAAAATTGAAAACTGTTTTTCACTTTGGCACAATTTCCACTGAGCTATAACCTTTAATACTTTTTTTGCGTAAGGAATCCCCTGTAATCTATTTTTAAAGATATTCACCTTTCTGTGGCTCACTTCAAACCTAACCCTTCTGATTTCCTTGCAGAAAACATGCTCTAAACTGTCACAGAATGAAGCCTGCACTTTTTAATGTTTTGTGTGAAATTAAAGAAAAAACAGGTAAGGAGAAATTTAATTATTTCCTTGCATCTTTTACCCTCCTTTTAAAGCATATCGCTGCAAGCCTATTTCATTCCAAAAATATATCTAAATGAAAAGGAACAGATTTTCACCTTTGCTTAAAATAACCATATTTTAAATGGTGCAAATAGAATGTGATTTAAGTGATATTGTGCCTATGTATAAGAGGAAAAACAAAGAAGAATATTTCTTGTGTCATTTTTATCTTAACACCTTTTCTACAATTTACATTAATTTAAAAGAGTCCAGAAGTGGCTACATGATTGTAATTTATAATCTACTCAAACAAATATTTTTCTCCTTTTATATTGCCAAGACAAGGAAAAACCTTTGTTAAGGCAAACATACAAAGATCTATTGGGGATTAGCCTTTTTGACTATTGTTTCTCATGGTTATCTTATTTTACATTGTATTTCTTGGTTTCAAGTGTTAATGACATGAAAATACCCGGTCTGTGTTTCCCACCTCGCAGGCCTCCTGCCATGCGCTAATACACTTATAACATGTCTCAGGGGGGCATTTAAATTTTAAAAGCAACAATTAAAAATAGCTGTCATCAATCAAGGGTGATCTTAAACAGCAGATGCTCAGTGAACAATGTTCAGTGACATCCGGTACTTATTTATTTCAACTTCCAAATGTTTTTCTTTCTGGAAAAGAGAGATTTGTCTTCCGCCTTAGCTCAGAGGAAAAAGCAAGAGTGTGAACTGTTGCTGAGTTTCAGCTCTTGGGTCAGATGCTCAGTTGTGGCGTGTTGTCTCCTGTTCTTTCCCTTTTTCTTCTCATTTTTCAACGAGGATGTAACAGTCAGTAACTCAGATCTCAATCAAATAAGGAAAAGGTCTGACATGAATGAAAGTGACAACAAATATGATTGTAAACTCACTTGATATACATTGAAAAGCGATGCATAAAAGAAACGTGCATTTTAGAAAACTGAATTCCTATGCCTCTGAAATTCAGTGTGTGTGCTCTGCATCCTGTGAAAAGCTGAATGAAATAGGATTATTTGACTTCAGCAATATGTATACGATGACTAAGGAGATCCTTTGTTAAATCTTATTTGTGCAGCTAGTAACCTAGACAAAGCACCTAACATTGGCATTCAAGCCCCTGAAGCCCTTAAGGTTGCAGAGTTGAAGGCTGACCTTCTTGAGGAGCCATTCATTATGTGTCTCCTATAATATAATGTAAAGGGATCCCTACAGTATCTCTTAATGGGATGTAATGCAGCTTGAATAAATATGTAAGTCTAAGAAGAACAACAGCTGACCCTTACCAGGTTGCATTTTCTTTTACTATTAGTCTGTCCTATATTTTCTGAACAAACCTAATCTGGGTTTGGGGTTTTAAGCTCCAGTATAATTCATTTTCTGGGATTCTTTTTTTTTTTTTTTTGAATCTCCTCTTTGTCAGTCTTTAATTGATTTGTGTCCTGAATGGAAATTGTCATGGTTCAAAGTTGTAGCAGATGGTTAGTGAAAATGCAACTTCTTTAAATTTCCTCCTATTTTCTCTGAAGTTTAATAGTTGGGGTGAGATGAGAAAACTTGTGTTGTCCTAATACTGGTTCATTCCATTGCATTATTAGCCACTGAGTGAATACTGAGAATTGAGGAATCAGTCTGAAACTCTTATTGCCAAGAGCAATGGAACTAGTTGTGTATGTTATTTGCATATTGTAACTTCTATATGACCTGACAAAAAGTGGAACCATTTGATTCTGCAAACAAATATAGAGTGTGGTAGTTTTTTCCCCCACCCCCCCAAAAAATCTGTTTGTGACATTTTTCTGCTTATTTTATCATTCAGAAGTATTACGTTGAAATATGGAGATAGGAAGTTTGGGAGAGGGAATTGTAATAAACAATTATTAAAATCTTGTCTCTACAAAAATGTTAATGGGAAGTTTGTGAATTGTCCACTCATGTGCCACGGGATAATCTGAGGTACTGCACATACAAAAGCAAACTCCTATTTATATATGCATATTTTTATCTTACTGCTCCTATTTGTGTTCATTGTTGTCTTGTGCCCTTGCCTTTGCAACCAATATGCATGCTAACGTATAGACATAATGGTGATTTTCAAAACGGCAAACTGTAAGGTAGGATTGACTATATTCCTGAGCACTTTAAGTGGTCTGGGGAATTGGGATTGTGGGGTGCAGTACAGGTCCCAGAAGTATTTCGGGCAGATACATTATTTACATATGTTTTCTACCCGGTTACATTCGGTAATTGAAAACATCTTCTAACTTGCAGTATTCTGACCATGAGCAAAAATTAGGTGATAAGCACCTGGCCATTTCTAACCTGTTTAGTTTTTAGCAAATTTATTTTTAGCACACTATTTTATTTTCCTTCGAATATTTCTGGCTAAGATTTATGATGTTCAATTTAAATTGCCTAGGGAGTAAGAGAAATAGATTTGATTTTTGAGATAAAATAGGAATACAGGCAACCAGCACATAAAAATATTATTTTCATCACAACAGATGAAAATATCACTTTGTTAATATGGTTTTCAGCTAGTATTTTTTTCTGTATCTCTTTTCAACCCTGGCGTTCCAATATACTGAATTGGTATTCACTCTATTACTATTTTTAGATGACTCTAGAGTATGCTGAAAATTATACCACCATTCCTTGTGACAGTGCAACTAATATTTCATGGTGTTAACGTTGCTAGAATAAACTCGATGTGTCTATAAAGTTTTTAGAGAGTAGATTGTCTTTACTGGCCAAAATTTTCCCTTACCTACTGTCATTTCAATTTATTTTAAAGGAGTTATGGATACTTTTTATATAAGCTTAGTTGTCATGAATCATTGATGTATAATGCCGTGAGTTGTATGAAATCTTAACATGTTTGTTTTTTTCAAAAATGATAAAAGACAAGATTTAATATTGATGTACCACGAGGGGAATTATATTGCATCTCTATATTGTCTAGATTCAGCATGCACTTCATGGACAGAGAGAAAGTTGGGATTAATTGATTGGTTCATATTTTACTATTGAGTAAGATAAATGTAATAGATTTCACTATTACTTGAATTTTAACACAGGAGTTGTTATGGAAAGCATGATATGTTGTACTATACAGTATGTAAGAAAAAGAATGCTGTGCAAGTTCTTGCTTGCAGGATCAGAATTCCTGAAAAGAAAGAGAGTTTGATGCCCCCAAATGAGAAATATTGGGGATTAAAAGGCATCACTCTTTCAGTAGCGGCCTTTCCTTTGGAATGCAGGGACTCCTTGACTTACAACCATTTGTTTAGTGACTACTTGAAGTTTCAACAGCACTGAAAAAAATAACATACAGTTTTCACTTTCGCTGCAGCCTCCCCATGGTCACATGATCAAAATTCAGACACTTGGCAACTGGCATGTGTTTATGATGGTTGCACTGACCTTGCGTCATGTGATCACCATTTGTAGCCTTCCCAGCTGGCTTTCGACAATGGGGGAAGCCACATTTGCTTAACAACCACATGATTCACTTAAGTACAGCAATTCATTTAACAATTATGGCAAAAGGGGTCATAAAATGGGGTACTATTCAATTGTCTCATTTAGCAACAAATTTTGGACTCATTTGTGGTCGTAAGTTGAGGACTATCATAGAGAGAAAATAGGCTGGCGGTAGATTGTTAGATTGACTACATGGTATCTTTCATTCTTTCCTGTGAATGTTTTTGAATATTTCATTTTGTATTCCAAAAACAATTAAATATGAATGTTCCCATGAGTGAGTTCCTCAAATTGCCTTAAATGTACTTTAAAAAAAAAAAATCATCCTGCAAGAATTACAAACATTTTTTAAAAATATGAAACAGTAACATCACAAAGTATGAAATATACAGTCAGCCATTATCCAGCATTGGAAATAACAGTAGCTTGCCATATAGAGTCTAATAACTACATTGATTCATAAGGAGTGAAGCGGTCCCATACATAGTTGGGATTTAAGTTTTAAAGGTTAAAAGCAACATCTTAAATTAAGCTGGGAAATAAAAATGAACAATTGATATCCAGGATTTAAATTTAGAATCAGTTTTGCTCCAACTGGATTTTTCAGCATTCTTCAAAAGTAGTTTTTTTTCAGCAATGGTTTCAGCAGAAGAAAGCCTGTCTATTTTGCAATATTTTAGATGGTATTTTAAATTGTATCTATTTGTACAGACATTTTAATTGATTTCATCCCCTTGTCTGTCTAGATGTTATTAGATTGCCAAGGGCTTTATTGAATTGTGTTAGTTTTTAATAATTTATTATGTATATTCTACATTATGTTGGAATCTGAATGAATGAAAGATGATGCAAAAAGGGTTGTTACTGGAAAATTGACTAAACTAGAAACTGCTTTTGTGTGTGTGTGTGTGGGGGGGTATCTTTAAATGGGGAAAGCAGTAAACTAAAGTTTTAAACTCTATTAGTGAATAACAACAGCAACTACTAATGATCAAATTGACAATTTAGCTTCCACATAATCTCTAGACAATGTTCATATGCACTCAGTATGACTAAGATTTAAATTTGTATTATGAAAACGTAGCTTTGAAATAGCTTCAGTTAGTTAGTGTTCCTTGGCTTATTGTTCACTGAGAGAGGAACTTTGGCATTACATACATCGTCCTGTTACAAAGACCTCTCAATACTCAGAGCAGGCAGATGTTTGGTGTCATGCAGTACACTATTTGTTCTTTATTTTTTTATTCATTTGTTTACTTTAGAGTGAGGTGCTGATAAAATAGCTTAACTGCTATTGATTTTGGGGCAGTAAAATGTTTTGGGCCTGACTTGACCATAAACTGCAACCTTCCTTCTTTTTTTGTTTTGTTTGAATCAGTGGCCAAAAAAGTAAGATGATTTACTTTTTCCAAGGAGAAACGGAAGAGAAACTCTGGTTCGAGGAAATCATTGGCAGAATATGATTTCCGCAGTTCAGGATCCCACCTCCTTTTCTCCTTGGA